TATGCGAGCACACGCACCCTCGCTGATATCTTGTTCATCAATAGGATATAGCTCTCATTTGTTCGCGCTATTTCGACCACCTTGCATTTACAATCAGTCCAAGTAGAATAGACGCGAACGGAGACAAATGTCCGATTGAAACTTTCGGGTGGGAGAGGAGAGAACAAGAGTATGAGAAGTTCGACTCAGTTCGTGTCGTTGACCGCTTATTTGTAATTCACGAGTATCCATCGAGTATTCATCGATCTCATCCATATAGAAACGGATCAGCGGAAAATGAACAGGAATACGACCTTGAGTCTGACTTCATTTTAGCTGCGCAGTTAAGCTTATATAATGGCTTATAGGCTGCCTTTCACGATGATATTAAAAATAAAGAACCCAGTATGAAAAATATATTATTTGCTGAAAATTGGAATTAATTTTATTCTCATGTATTTTTTTAATATAAAGGTATTTATTTATTTCAAATGGCAGGCATTATGATAGTTATCATTAGCCCTTTAGTTAACCTTTGAAGTCAGAGGCGAACTGCCAGTTAATAGACTTTTTTGCCGTACGAGTATACGTTGCCCTGGGTGCACCACGTGGAGGTAAGTCTATCGCACACCCCTTTTAATATAAAGGTAAAATAATGTATTTTTTTTAAGAAACTTTTGACCTCTTATTGATATTAGGACAATTGGACAATTGAGATAAGATAGAACGTTTTGAATAAATTACATCAGTACTTGTGAGAATACAAATTATTTAGGATATTTTTCCATAATTTTATAAAGCTAAAAGCCACAAAGGATTTTCTTCTTTCAAATCAAAGCAATCATTTCACATGACGCCAAATTTGAGCGAAATAGAGTTCTATTAAGATCTGTCAGCCTGATCTTCCAGTTTTAGACAAATCAGAGGAGTAAATGGTGCGCACACACACGACAGTTAGGTAGAACACTAATTATGACCTTGAAATAAGCAAACAGGAAAGTGGCAACAATTTAGGTCACGTAAAACTTGTTATCTCCTCATGAAGGTAAATGTACTTTGTACTTTATTTAATTATGAAATAATAATGGCGCCTAGGCAATGAATTTCTCAGAGTTTAGATAATTTAATATGGCAATTTAATAGGTTCGTTTTAATTGTTTTTAAAGGGCTTTTGGGTGCAGATAAGAGTAAGCTTTGTTATGTGAGATGAAGATGACATAGGAGGGCTGGAATGAGTTTAGAGGTGGTAAGGGTTTACTTTGAATTCGTCATTTTTGAAAATATAGTTTTTTTAGAGCAAGTTTAGAATCTTTGGGAGAATTTCGGAAATATTCATGCAGACTGATTACGCTATCTCATGTAGTAAACATCGCAGGTGAATCACAATGCTGACTATCCCTGAGCCAGTTTTAATGCTTAGTATTTAGCAATGCAGAATTTCTGGTAGATGTAGATTCTTTTACTTTTAAAGAAGATTATTTGCCAAATAACGGCTATTGAAATCTGCACTAGTAATCTTGAAATGAAAGTAACTGGAAATCTAACACGGATAGGACTTGAAATTACTGTGCATAGCCACCATTATAGAAACTTAAGCTTTCTATCAAAAAATTGATATAATAATAGACTTCACGTATTTGAGAGATTTCTTACCTGTTTCCACATCATGCACAACTGAGAACAGGCACGAGGCTTTCTGTCCCGTGTATCATAAAGAGTGAGTGGTGATTAACACAAATAAGAGCCTTCATTCAACAATAGTTTTGTAACCCTTTATATTACTAGCTATTGGCATGGTACGTACTTACTTCCATTTATAAAGTTCCGTGAAAATAAATTTTCTTCTGAAAACACTTGTACTAGCGAATACATTCGTCTCTAACAGCACACTAAAAGGAGATGCTAATTTACTTGTAATTTACTTAAATTAATTTAGTAGATATTTGTTCATGAAAATTTCCAAGCTTTGAATATTCGCGAGATCAAACACTAAAAGTTTTAAAATGCGCATAAGGAAACCTTATTTTTATATTCTAATCGTTGATCTAATCGTTTTCTTGAAGAAAATTGATCAATAAGTCAAGTTAATGGTATAATAAAGACATGAGGAACGGGTTTCTACTTAGCTCGAGTTGCTAGTTCCATCCAATCGTCTTAATCTCTTCCGGATCATGTTTTCTCTGTAAGTAAAAACTTAACTTCATCAGGCATGACCTTCAGCTAGATTATAATAGATACGAACATAGAACCTTCATTTGAACACTAAATATTACAACTTCCACAACTTTATTAGCAAAATTCAGTCAGACTAGGAAAAATTCGTTTTTAGTAGTCATGTTGTGTTAGTGCTCATTTTAACTAAATGAGGTGGATGGCGTTGATTTCAAAGACGACATTCTTAAATTACCAGAAGAATCCAGTTTCAGAATCTAGTTTCAATAACGCCAATTATTTAATTTAATACTTATCTTTTGGTTGAATTGCGATATTTATCTGCAAAAATCCAAATTAACCTCATTCTTATATAAATACATGCTAACGATATTTATCTATTCAAATTTATGTGATTAAAAGGGTTTTATCAAGCAAATGATCATTTATCGAAACCATTGGAATATTTTTGTGGTTATTGATAAGATAAGACCTGTTGTTACAGCGATGACATTAAGTTATTTTGTTGGCTATTTTCTGTGTCAAAATTTAATTTAAAAAAATAATAAAAAACGTTGTTTTTTTATGGTAGCTTCAACAAAACCCCTCTTTGATCCATTATAAGTTGAAATATATGACTTATTGTCGATTTACTGATCATTAAATTCCTTCATTCTCAAAGTGGTAATAAATTGTTAAATTACAATTTTTAGTAAACTGAAGCAGTGACTTTAGACCATCTATTTAAAAAAAGTGGATGATAACAGCATGAACGTGCTATCCAATTGAAACTAGACCTTTGTAATCCTACCTCATTTCTCATTGGTGCATGAAATGCCATGCACATGTTTCCTTTATTAGGAATAAGTCTGGTTATTTCGATATAAGTTTTAATTAATTTTAAGTATTCACTCTGAGATTCAACCCCTGGGTGCGAAATATTTACTTTAGTCTGCATTCGATTCATATCAATAAGATATTTGTTTCTAAAGGATTTATATATTTTATATAATTATATAATATGTGTGTGTGTGTGAGTACGTGAGCTCTGCATTGGTTATTTAGGAAATAATTGAATCTACTTTTGAATTCATATAATGTTATGTACTGTAATCTATAATAAATAATATATCATTTACTCTATTGAATTTTGTATTTTTTCACTAAACATTGCTTGATTTCCTTGAGTTGCTTTGAACCCCTAGTGTTTTATTTATGAAGAAGCTCAAAAATGGGACTAAATGAATATCTAATGGCAATAGTATCTTCGATTATTTCTTGGACAGTCGTAAATGAAAATATGGGCCTTTTAAACGTGCTCTTCGTACCAAATCGCAATGTTAATGCAACCGAATTCAAAATAAATCTAAACTTCTCTGATGTAAAAGACTTCCTCTTTGCTATAATCAAGAGAGAATCAATTTCACTCACCATTCTTGGAGCAATGCCGAATGACATTGGTGGTCCAGAAGCTGTAGAGACTGCTCAAGCCAATCCAAATCGTGAATCATACATTCTTTGGATTTGTTTAGCCATTTTTCTTATTGCTCAAGTCTTCATTATCCTTATTCTTATAATAACTTGCTGCAGTTGCATAGGACATAAAGATGTGAGTTTATTACTTATTAGTTCACATTAACAATTTATAAGAATAATTTTTTGTTTTTTTCAATTCAGTCTGACCGAACCCTAAATCGTTTGCAAATGCTTGCCAACGATTCGAAATTCAATCACAAAAACGCTATTTTTCGAAATTGTTATCTGATTTTGATGATCTTCATGCTACTATTGTTAATATTTTCATATATACTGCTTTGTTTGTATTTCAACAGCGTTTATAACGTGGTTTCATATCGCCAAATCAATGAAAATTCAACGAATTATATTGACCTTCAAAAGCAATTAGAATTTGTAAGGGCGAAATTTTACGAATTTTGGGATGATGGAGTAGTATCTGGTGAAAAATTATTTAATTCTTCACTGATAAAATCTCAAAAACTTTTCAATGTACGTATTGCCGCTTTTCAATTAATTTAATTATATATTAACTTCTATTTCAGATCCTATTGGATGATTTTATAAACGTGACATTCAAGTCACTCATGGATAACCTCAATTTAACCTCAATGTTTAACGATGGCAAGACGGCGTTTTCAATAGTGCGAAAAAGGAAATCGATTTCTAGAACTTTAATAAAGGATTTGACAAAATTTGAAAGACAATTTAACAATGTTGCAACAACCTTTTCTCAAATACCTTGTGATTATAACATTTTGTTTAATGAAAAGGCTCGTTGCAATGAGGTTAATTCGAATTTAAAGGTGAATTACTTCAATTAGATTACATTAATTGATAAATACATAATTAGAATTCCACGTTCTCATCAAGAAAGTTCAATAATTTTCATATTCCACCTAAAAGAGCGTAAAACAAACTAAGATGATTAATTGATCAAAATAAATTAAATATGCAACTTCAATTTGACCTTATTGCCCTCACTTGGTTTCGTCAATATAGTCTGTATGTATTACTTCGATTTTATCTGGCAATTTTTACCAATCTCATATCTAACGTTCCACTGTTTTCTATAGAAAGATGAAACCAGTTTATACGGAGTAATTTCATCTGCTAGTTTTAACATTAAACCCATAAAAAGATATGATTCGGCTTTGAAGACGACTCAAATAAGGTTCAAAAATATTTTTAAAGCGATCAATAGAGGGTTGAAAACCTGTGAGGACAAAGGAGTGCAAATCAAGCAAATGATTCAAGCATCTCTGAATATATCGTCCATGCAAACATTCTCCCATAAATTACTGTTAATCTCAAAGAGTAAATTGAATGAGCAAGTTAATGCATTGGAACATTACTTACAACCAATGAAAAGTGTTATTTCCCAATACGCACAACCACTTTCGATTTCTTTCTATGGCATTGGAGGACTTTTAGCCGTTATGCTCATCGTTGCATCTCTGATCATCGCTAGACTACTTTATAGAGCTTTTCGGGATCAACTCTATTTAGATCCAAGTGACCTTTGCGGGGGTGAGTTACATTGTTATGAAGTAATGTATAATCCGATAAAATCGCATTTGTCCACCTTAGATACCGAAATAACTGCATGCGACAAATTGACTTGTGGAAAGGAATTTACTTGTTGCTTTTCGACTTACTTAATGATAGTAATACCAATATTTGCTACTGTTATCAGCCTTCTTCTCTTCCTACTTACAGTTGCAGCAGGTATGCAAGTAGAATCTAAACCATTCAATCGGTATAGGTGAAGGATGCATCTACTTCACTCGAGAAACTGCAATTCAAAAGACGGATCATGTTTTGAATACCATTATGGCGAATAAATGGAGGGAGATTCATCCACAGTGGAGAAGCTATTTTAATGTGAAGCCACCAAGGAACATTTTGAAAGCCTTAAAGACAACCTGCAAATATGACCCATACAAAGAAACCATTGGACTCTTCTATTCATTGGGGTATGGCAATATCGTCGATATAAATGGTATTGTCCAAAGCGAGTTTCTGCAGAATAGACTCAAAGAAGGCACATCGTAAGTTATTCTCAAGCCATTTTTTAGTGAATGACGGGATACTGTTCATTAATTTGATTATTTGTAATTGAAATACGATGATCAGACAACACTTTCTATTATCATTGAATATTAGGTTGAAAAGATTCAAATCCTATGAAAGGCAATGAAAAGACTTTGAAATACACTTGGAATATCTATTGGCTCTAGTTCCGTTCATGCCCATAGAAAACATTATCAGACAACCAATTAAAATGTAAGAATTTAAATTGAGTTTTTTTCAATCAAAGCGATAACGAAACGAGGCGGATTTTCATGAACCCTCCTTCTAGAATCACGTTCAATAAAAGTCATGAGGAGCCACAATTTTTAATTGTAAGACGGCTTGTGGAAAGGAAATCAGATTGAATTGAAAATTGCATTCTAATAATAAAAACAAAAGTTTTGAAAATTCGATTTATGAATTGCAGTTGCTAGTTTTTAATCCGGTTCATAACATTAAATCTTAATGTTCAAATGTCTAACTTTTGGACATTTTGAGTTAATTATTTATGCCTCATCTGGTGTTTAGTGCCTATTTTAGTAATTCGAATAAGTAGCAAATTAATAAATGATTTAAACAGCTGTAGCGGAATAATAAATCGGCTAGCCTTGCCTTACACTCAGTATGCTCCTCAACCATACGAAGGAAATAGGCATAAGGCATAAAACCCATTTAGATGGGCTGTGTGTCTACCATAGAGCTTTGTGTTTATAACACAATGCAGGGACTATTGACTGATGGTTGTCTGAGACGCCACACTTGACGCCTACGTGGATAGCTGCACTGCCGCACCTTTCAGTCTGCCGGGAGTGCATGAGATTTCTTGGATCATCCATGAAAGCACTCTGCATTCCGCATAGTTTTACCATTAAATTTTACTCATCGCGAACAATAATCTACTCTTAATTAATCTGAAGTAAACCAGAAAGCAAAACAGAAATTTATTGATGAACCTTGATTAAAGACGTTCTTTTTATTTCAGGGCTCTCATCAGACAGATCGATAATGAATATATTCCTAGTCCACCACCGCCTGAAATGTCTCTTTTCATCTTGAGAACTTATTTTAAATCGCCAACCTCGTCCACCTCTTTAGAAGCAAGGATTTTGTTAGATTAAATTTTTCTACACATTCTTTTACAGCAAAAAATATAAGTAGTTTTGAGAGGAAAGTACCTGGTAAATAATTAATGTTATAAACTCCACATTTTTACAAATTTATCCTAATAAAACAAAATTAAAAATTTTGTAGCGGATTGCTACTTTATTAAAGCCTGACTGACTCAGAAATCTCTATGGCAGATTCTCCAACATCTAGCTAGACTCCCAGAACCAGCTAAGCTATAGCCCAGCTATAAAGGTAACAGGCATGTAGCACGGAGCACGTTTATTCAGTACAAGTATATTGCGGATAGTGGACACGCAGGGAGCTACTCATGATCAGGATGGGGGATTAGGTTAAACAGAGGTTGATGATTGGTCACTGTTTGTACGGTCGCTGCACACAGAGTTGTACGGCCGCACCTCCCAATCCTGGCATTCAGACATGCGATGACGTGCCCACAA